GAGGTAAAGGATTACGAATGCTCTCTCCGCCGGACGACGACGCGCCGTATATTTCTCCGTAATACCGTTATGTGTGCGGGCAAGGGCGCCTCGGCATAAGGCGCGCGAGCGCTATCGCACCAAGAGACGCGGCACAGAGTGCGAGAGCAGTCGGTCAGTCTGTGTGATGTACGGAGAGGAGAGACGGTGAGACATGCGCTACCTACTTTCGGGAGACAACGACGCACGCGCCGCTCTAGGGAAAGCGGTGCCATTCACCGCCCTGACCCTTTTTTTGGCCGTTTGTTGCTCCCTTCGCGCGCGCTCTTACTCTCATCCCATTTCTCCTCGGCTCTCGCGTACACACACGACTTGGATACACAAACACGCTCCCCCTCTTAATTCGCGCAGCATTCCCTGGGCGCGCGTTCGCCAACGTTTTACACGCTTGTGCGCTTCTCTTTCTCATTATTATTTCGGTGTGTCATTTCAGACGACGCAAGGATTTGCGCCGCGGCTGGTCGGCGCGGCACAGACACCTCGGGCGAACGTCCAACGATCGCTCGTACGCCCATTGTAAGCGTTGCACAGGGCACAGGCGACGCGCGCGCCATTCTCTGGTCGCCCGCGTCGTGGCCGTGCGCGCTTTTCGGGCGCAAGTAGTTTAGGGGTACTAAAACGACTCTCAGCCAGGCGTGGTCCGGGAATTGTATCCGTGGACCGCAATGTGCGTTCGAAATGTCGATGTTCATGTGTCCTGCAGTTCACAAGTTGTGCGAGAACCTTCGATTTGTTTTAATTTTCCGCGCAGAGGCAAATTTATTTATTTATAAGTCGGCTCGTAGATACGAAGGAGACTGGATGCGGAGAAAATTGTAAATGTGGAGAAATTCACTTTTGAGGCAAAGCAGTTTTATTCAAAACTCTCGCAGACAAGATTAAAACGCGGAAGTTCGCTCTAGAACGAAATAAATTCGCGCGATGCTCTTTTCGCTGATATACACGGAGACGTCTCTTCAGTTCAGACTCCTCGAGTAGACTCATTTTTGATCCTCGCGGAATTCGGCAGCTAAGGCTCATCCGATCGACGCGTGGCACACGTGCTGAAATCCTATTCGCGGACGATTGCCCCATCACGCTCCGAAACGCAAGACAAAGGCGAGTTTTTGTAGATTCCTCGCTCGCGGAATCGAAAACAACCGGAATAACATCTCGGCGTCGAATATTTTCAATTTCTACGATTAACCTTGCTTCGTCGCTCCGAAAATACGTGACAATTTTAAACATACCGCCCGCCTCGCATTTGAACGTATGCGAATATGCGAAATATAGCCAACGGTAGTCTTCAACGTACGATGAAGACAATAAATCAATTTTCAATCAACCAAGAAATCAAACAAGAGATCAATGCAATAATTCCTTGCGATCGAATAACGAGGGCAAGTAATCAGAAGGTGAAAAAACCTTTTACAATTTTCGAGTAAATATTTCTAAATTATAAAGACGCTCTCAATTTTCAATAGGCACTGAGCCTTAGCAAATATTCGCCTCTTTCGGCTGTTCGAGCACGCAAATACAATTATACATGTTTCGAAATTCTACCGACAATGCGATGGGTCGAATAACAAAGTCATAAATGCGATACCTGGCTCGAAAACCACGCCGAAGAGGAGAATATTGCCTAACATAGTAGATTTTTAACGTATAAGACGGGCAACAAGAGCCAAATCGCGGATGACAATGCGTTATCCTAACGAAACTAAATAATTTTCCGTTAGAATTAAATACCGGTGCACAAGGCACCAAATTTTACTTGGACACGGCCAAGATTTTAAATATGAAATAATCTCATATTTGAGATTTAATTTCAATACCCCCTTTAACCCCCCTACGGAAAATAAATAAATGAATGCAAGAGAAAAATATAGATCCGAAAATCGCTGAATCGGGAATCGAACCCGAGACCTTTCGCTTGCCGGGCGACTGCTCTTCCAGCTGAGCTATTCAGATCCTTTCGATTCTATACTTTTCTCTGTTATATATATTAATGTTGGTAAACAAACGCATTTTTTAAGCCAGCGTGTATCAAATATAAGAGTTTTAACAAGGCTCTGTAATATAAATATAAATTTAACGTATAAGACGGGCAACAAGAGCCAAATCGCGGATGACAATGCGTTATCCTAACGAAACTAAATAATTTTCCGTTAGAATTAAATACCGGTGCACAAGGCACCACATTTTACTTGGACACGGCCAAGATTTTAAATATGAAATAATCTCATATTTGAGATTTAATTTCAATACCCCCTTTAACCCCCCTTCGGAAAATAAATAAATGAATGCAAGAGAAAAATATAGATCCGAAAATCGCTGAATCGGGAATCGAACCCGAGACCTTTCGCTTGCCGGGCGACTGCTCTTCCAGCTGAGCTATTCAGATCCTTTCGATTCTATACTTTTCTCTGTTATATATATTAATGTTGGTAAACAAACGCATTTTTTAAGCCAGTTATTTTCCGTAGGGGAGTTAAAGGGGGTATTGAAATTAAATCTCAAATATGAGATTATTTTATATTTTAAAATCTTGGCCGTGTCCAAGTAAAATTTGGTGCCTTGTGCACCGGTATTTAATTCTAACGGAAAATTATTTAGTTTCGTTAGGATAACGCATTGTCATCCGCGATTTGGCTCTTGTTGCCCGTCTTATACGTTAAATTTATATTTATATTACAGAGCCTTGTTAAAACTCTTATAAATTAGTTTATTCACTTTCTACAAGTTCGTCGCGTACCGAGACTTATGTTTCTCGGCGCTCGCTCTCTCGAGGACTGACTCGAGGGCTGCGCGAATTTCGGAGCTCGCGTAGGGCGGCAGCCGATCGGGGTCCTCGATTGGACCATCAGAAAATCAGGCGATGTACACACGCCAATTAGCGGCGAGTGTACACGTTGGTTTCACGTGTTTCCTTGGCGTAAACACTAAGGAATTTAACAAAAAAACATTCTAGAAAATTCGATCGTCCTCGAGGATTCGATCCGAAGAACGAATCTTCAACAATGTGGAAAGAATTTTATTAGAATTTCTCTACTATTTATTATATTAAAAATAATAATATGTATCACAAGAAAATATAAAATATGTTTGATTAATTTTACTATACAGTTTAGTAAAATTAATCACACATATTTCATATTTTATTGTGATAGATATTATTTTTAATGTGATAAATATTAATCAGAGAAATTTTAATAAAATTCTTTTCATACCGTATTGTCTCACAATTACCATAACTTTTAGGGTAAATTTTAAGAGAAAATTCTCTCAGTGTACCGATTAATTATTAAAAATTACTTGTAAAAAGGCACACGTTACTCGATGCGGACGACAATTGTTTACACGGCAAGGACACGACAACAGACTGCGGCGACGGATGACGCAACGCGTCGCGACGCTTCGCGACACGTCTAGACGATAACAATCACGCGGCGTTGCCGAACATGTGATTGACGCGAGACATGTATTAAAACGTATAATAATTATGTTATTAAAAAAGGCATATTATAACGTATTATAATTTTTTACGTTATAATACATTTTTTTTAATGACTTAACATTATCCGCCCGTTTTGCCCTTTCTTTTTAAGCGAGACGTGAGAAAAATGATTATGTTTTGCGAACAAGATGTTCCATGTATAAATGTATTGGTCGCTCTTTTCAGAGCGGATTGACTTTGGTCGCTCTGAAAAGAGCGGATTGACTTTGGTCGCTCTGAAAAGAGCGGATTAATTTATAATAGGTGCTCAAAATGACCACCATCCATCCTTATGCAAGCTCGCATGCGTTTAAATAAATTTAATTGGACGTTCTCCATTACTTCCTCTTCGATATTCCAAATTACATATCGCAATCTGGTTTCTAAGTCGTCGACGTTCTCGGGAAGCGTTTTGTATATTGATTCCTTACAGTATCCCCATAAAAAGAAATCAAGAGAATTAAGGTCCGGGGATCTTGCGGGCCAACGTATCGGGCCATACCGACCCATCCAACGTCCAGGAAACTGCTTGTGCGCGACGGAAAGATGGATAGGACGTGGTCGGAAGCGAGACCGAGAAATAGACACAACACTCGACACACGCGTAACGTTCACAAAAAAAATATATTTATATAAACTATTAACAAAAATTACAATTAATATACCGCACCGAATTTACCGAGAGAATTAGCCGAGTCTTAAATTACTAAGTGTCCGCAAGCAACGGTAATGAATTAGACAAAGACAAGCAATCTTTATCGTATGAACACACTTTATTCGCGATGAGCAATCGGTAAAAGCGCCGCGGTCGCGAGAGAGGAGGCTTATATACGCCTTGTAATTCTAGAATATTCGAGTACATTTGCTGTCGTTCTATTGTGATATTAAGGGCGAAGGAACGTTTACTGTAATTATTTACTTGTTTTTCTCTCCTCTCGCGCGACAGCGGTGTTTACAATTTAGACTGTTTTAAGCGCTTATTTTCGAAGGCGCGGAGTATCCGTATACTCTCGCGGCCGAGCGCTAATTTAAATATAATTTAAAATACGCATGTTAGACCACGATATTAATTAATAAATTATATGCATGCTGCATGAGGCATGATCGAGATGCATGAATATTTTAACGCTTTTTTGTCCGCGGGTTATTACCGTTCGAATCTCGAACATTTCGCCCGCCTTGCAGTAATATACCTGCAATCGTGTTCTCAGCGCGAGAGTGGGGCACGAGCCTATTCACGCGCTCGTGCGTGACGGACACGTGGAGCGCACGTGCTCCGATTGATTTAGAGAACGGAATGCTGAATCGATCAGCTGTTTATACTGGGAGTCAGTATAGACGCGTATAGGTTAAGCTTTGCGTAGACCGTATGCTGGCGATGTGCAAGTGACTGTGAGTGTGAAGTACAATTGTGAGGAGAATAATGAAAATTTAGTGAAAAAAAATAAATGAATGTGAATATGGAATAGAGAAAAGTGTAAATTTTTTAAACGCGGACGACGCGTGATTGCGATTCGAGTGAGTCTTCGGAGCCGTCGGTCAGAAAGACTAACTTGTTCACGGGACGCGTCAAATTTGTGGTCGAGGTGCGGACGTCGACTACGCGAACGTTACCGTCGGAACCTGGATGCAGTCGTGTAATGCGCGCAAGCGGCCACCGTGTTGGTGGTGTTATTTCGTTTCGCACGAGGCAGATTCGACCGACGCGAGCCTCCTGATTAATTCGGGACCATTTCGGCCGATGGGCCAGCGTGTGTAAGTATTCGCTGACCCACCGAGACCAGAAATGGTCCTTCATGTTTTGCAGGAGCTGCCACCGTGAGAGACGTGCCGACGGCTCTCGTTCGAGCGACGGTTCGGGGATCGCCGAGAGAGCGGAGCCGACCAGGAAGTGACCAGGTGTGAGTGCGGCTACATCCTCCGGATCGTCAGACAACGGCTGCAGCGGTCTGGAATTGAGGCAGGCCTCAATTTGGGCTAGGAGAGTAGTCATCTCCTCGTAGGTGAGGGTGGCGTCACCGATGACTCGCCGAAGGTGGTGCTTCATCGCTTTCACGGCAGCTTCCCATAAACCGCCGAAGTTAGGTGCAGCTGGCGGGTTGAACCGCCACCGGATTCTTTCCTGGGCGGCGAAGGTTGCGATGCGATGTCCGTCGGCACTGGCGGCGGAAAATAGTTGCCTAAGCTGCTTATCGGCACCCACGAAGTTGGTGCCGCAGTCGCTATATAGCGAGTGGCAGACTCCTCGCCTGGCGACGAACCGACGCAAGGCGGCAAGGAAGGCGTCAGCGGTGTAGTCCGAGGCCGCGTCGAGGTGGACTGCTCGGGAAGCTAAACAAATAAAGACAACAATAAAACCTTTTGTCGCCTTGAGTCCGCGGCCCCCTGCTGTTCGCATCCAAATCGGTCCGGCGTAGTCTACGCCGGTATGCAGAAACGGCCGGCCTGGAGTAACTCGTGGTGCCGGGAGGTCCCCCATCAGTGGCTGAGGGATGGCAGCCCGCCATCTGGTGCACCTTAGACACCGGCTGATGCGGCTCTTCACTAGAGCGCGACCTCGAGGGACCCAATACTCCTGGCGAAGAGAGCACAAGGTCAACAGGGTGCCGCCGTGCAGCGTCCGCTTGTGGTAGTCGTCGATGATGAGGCAAGTAAAATTAGATCTGCTTGGTAGTATGGTTGGATGCGTGGCATCATACTGCAGTGCAGCGTGTTTAAGGCGCCCGCCGACGCGTAGGAGTCCCTCACTGTCCAGAAAAGGACTTAGCTTCAGTAGGGAGCTTCGAGTCGGCAGAGGCTTTCCATTCTTCAGGTGTCTCAGTTCTTCTTTGTATGTTTCAGCCTGGATGATTTTTAACCAGGAGATCCGGGAGTCCTCGATCTCGTCGGCGCTGTTCAAGCCGGGCTGGCCATGCGCGAGGTGGTCCTGACGATGGATCCGCAGCCAGCGACGGCACCACGCAGTGATCCGGAGCAGGCGTTGTAGCGACGAGTATCGAAGAAGCATCTCCGGCTCAGTCCTTTGTTCGGCGATGGCGGCGACGTGGGCGCGGACGCGCCTCTCTGGGAGGTCATCCTCTGGTGGCTCCTCGCAGTTGATCGTCCACGGTTGGCTCTCGGAGGACAGCCACGACGGACCTTGCCACCATAGTGAATGGTCCACAAGCTCGCTGGGGTAGAGTCCTCGTGACGCGCAGTCCGCGGGATTCTCTCGGCCGGGGACGTGGTGCCAGTGGGCGTCCGGAGTCAGCGTCTGGATCTCACTCACCCGATTAGCGACGTAAGTGACCCAGGACGAAGGGTGGCCCCGGATCCAGCCGAGAGTCACGGTGGAATCCGACCACAGATGGAGAGGCGCCTTTTCTGCGCCAATAAGAGGCACGACGTGGGCGACCAATCGAGCTTGGTCTTCGCAGCTAATAAAGTCACTCTCCTAACTCCGTTTGTGTTTGTTCGCAGGTAGATGACTGCGGCGTAGGCACGTTCGGAGGCATCGGCAAATCCGTGAACCTCTTGATGGGAGTCAGCTAGGGCTCCTAACCAACAAGGCACGACTAGTTTCTCCAATGCCGCTAGCTCCTCCTGGAATCGCAGCCATTTTCTGGCTTCCTCGCTTGGCAGAGACGCGTCCCAGTCGAGACCTAGTAGCCAGGTAGCCTGGATGTTGATTTTGGCCAGCACAGTCGTTGGAGACAGCCAGCCGAGTGGATCGAATAATTTGGCCGTCAAAGAAAGGACCGACCTTTTGGTGACCGCTGAGAGAGTGATCCGGTGGGTGGCGAAGGCGAAGCGGTCGTCGCACGGTTGCCATCGAAGGCCGAGAGTGGAATGACTCTCGCCGGGCAGCCACCATCTGGCCTCTTGTTGCAGGCGCGCGTCCGGTTCCACGAGGCTCAGCAGGTAGGAGGCGTTTGTAGACCACTTTTTTAGTGTGAACCCGCCCGCCGTGCATATATTTGTCAGCTGCCTCACCATAGATTCTGCTTCCTCTTGATTCTCGGCACCGGACAGGATGTCATCCATGTAGACATCGCTCCGCAGGATGTCGGCGCCTTTCGGAAAGCGATGCTCTTCGTCCTCGGCGAGTTGGCGTAAGGTACGGATGGCCAGATACGGGGCGCATGAGAGCCCGTAAGTGACCGTGCATAGCCAGAACTCCTGGACGTCGTTCTTAGAGTCGTCTCTCCACAGGATTCGCTGCAGGCTTCGATCGTCCGGATGCACTAGGATCTGCCGATACATCTTTTCGATATCGGCAGCGAAGACGTATCTGTGGCGTCGCCAACGCAGCAGGATGTCAGCCAGCGCAGGAAGCAGATTCGGTCCAGTCAGAAGAAATTGGTTGAGAGAGTCCCCGTTCGGCAAGGAGCTCGAGCCGTTGAACACGACCCTCAGCTTAGTGGAAGTGCTGTCCGGACGCAGGACCCCGTGATGCGGCAGGTAACAGGTACCTCGTTGTGGCTCAGCTGGCGCTGGTGCAAGCATCATATGTCGCAGTTCCTTGTACTTTTGCATGAACTCTACGTACATGTCCTTAAAGTCGGCATCTTTCTCTAACCTTTTCTCCGTCTGTTGCAGAGCACGACTGGCGGCGCGACGAGTCCCAGACAGATCCGGGAGAGGCTCGATCGTTGGCAGCCGCACTATGTACCTGCCGTCAGGAGAGCGCGAGTGATGACGGCGGTAGTGCTCCTCGCACTCTAGTTCCGCCTTGGTGAGGGTCGGAGATGGCCGGTGGACTTCCTCCTGCTCCCAGAACCGCCGCACCAAGCAGGTGATGTCCTCCTCGATTTGGCAGTGATGAGCGGAGATGTGTTGGCTGGGCGCCGTCGAGCTAACTGTACCTGAGAGAATCCAGCCCAACGAGGTTTGTTGAGCTACTGGATCCTTAGAACCTCCTTTTCGTAGACCCTGACGGATGATGGTCCCATATACGTCGGCTCCCAGTAGGATGTCGACGGGGTCCGAGGAGCAGAATTCCGGATCGGCGAGCTCCAGGTCCTCCAGATGGGTCCAGGTTCGTCTACTGCTGCGGCATCCTCCGGAAAACAGCGTCAACTTCGGCAGCACTAAAGCGTTGACGAAGGTGGGCGATTCCCCTCTGCGCGACTGCAGGGTGAGTCTCATTTTCCCCTTTGTCACTCCGGTCCTTTTCTCTCCGACTCCATAGACACTAACGGCGGCTGCTCTTCTAGGGAGTCGTAAGCGCTGCGCTAATCGCTCCGAAATGATGGAGGATTCGGAGCCCTGGTCGATCAGAGCGCGAGCGGACTGCCAGCTTCCGTGGCAGTCGAGGACGCGGACCCTAGCCGTAGCGAGCAGCACCGTTGCGGAGGAAGAGTCTGCGCCTTGAGCCACGTGAAACGTCGTGGCGGCCTCGGCTTCCCGGAATGCATCGTGAAGCGAGGAGTGATGTCGACTGCCACACGCTGTACACGTCTTCTTCGAAGAGCACTCGGAAGATTGATGCCGGCCAAGGCAGTTTGAGCAGAGCTTATGCTCACGGACGAGCTGTTTACGCGCCATCGCCGTCTTATCCTTATAGTCGCCGCAGAACATAACAAAGTGGTCCCCCTGGCAGATGGAGCACCGGCTTCTGGACTTCTCTTTTGGATCTTGGCATTTGACGTGGTGGCTCCTCGTTGATTTCGTAGTGCTGGAGCTGCTGCTGTCGTTCCTGGCCGGAAACAGCGCCTCCAACGTATGGAGCCGACGTTCTATGAAGGCCTCAAGCGAGGCGTAGCTTGGCGGACTCGTGGTGTGACTTATATCACTCTCCCATTCTCGCCTAGAGCGGCTGTCGAGGAGCTCTACGACGAGGTGGACGAAGAGATCCTCCGTGCGGTCTATCGGTCGGTCTATGCTCTTCAGGGAGCTGACAGTTGTTTTTACTCCATGGAAAAGCCTCCTCAATTCAGCGGCGGATTCGCTTTTCATCTTGGTCAACGCTAAGAAATTATTCAGATAATTACGAGTCAGCAATCTTTTGTTCTCGTAATAATCGCTTAGAGTTTTCCAGGCGATTTCATAGTTGTCTTCTGTGGTGCTGAGGTTACGAATCAGCAGATCGGCGTCACCCTTCACACAAAGTTTTAAGTAGTGTAACTTCTCCACAGGTTTTGCTGCCTGATTCCGGCCGATGAGGGATTGGAACAGATCCCGGAATGAAGGCCAATCCTCGTATTTCCCGGCGAAGGTAGGCGGTTGGATTTTTGGCAGCGCTGTCCGAGGAGCGGGACTAGTTGTCGCGGCCGCGGTAGAGCTGGCTGCCTGTAGCTGCAGCTGGAGAGCGCTCTTCAGATCGAGCATGAGGTCCTTGTTTAGCAGGTAAGCTTCCTCGCCTGAGGACGGGATGTCCTGTTTAGCGTAGACCTCATGCTTTATTTCGTCAACCCGATCGGCTAACGTATCATTAAGAGCGTCGAATTTATCCCATAGCTTCTCGAGATTTTGAAGCCGGGCCTCCACCGCGCCGAGGGTCATATTGGCCTCGCCGAGCTTCCGCAGGTTCTCGAACGCGCGCGAGATCTTGCCGTACAGCACCGTGGCGGTGGCAATGATCGCCTTCGTGTCTGTCATTTCTAACAATGTTTCTCTGTTCCAGAAGCACTGGTCACCGACACTCAATCACAATCGCTTCCGTGGCACCGGATTCACAGGAGGTTCCGGAGGAATCCGGCTCGAAGGACCAAAAAATGTGCGCGACGGAAAGATGGATAGGACGTGGTCGGAAGCGAGACCGAGAAATAGACACAACACTCGACACACGCGTAACGTTCACAAAAAAAATATATTTATATAAACTATTAACAAAAATTACAATTAATATACCGCACCGAATTTACCGAGAGAATTAGCCGAGTTGTAAATTACTAAGTGTCCGCAAGCAACGGTAATGAATTAGACAAAGACAAGCAATCTTTATCGTATGAACACACTTTATTCGCGATGAGCAATCGGAAAAAGCGCCGCGGTCGCGAGAGAGGAGGCTTATATACGCCTTGTAATTCTAGAATATTCGAGTACATTTGCTGTCGTTCTATTGTGATATTAAGGGTGAAGGAACGTTTACTGTAATTATTTACTTGTTTTTCTCTCCTCTCGCGCGACAGCGGTGTTTACAATTTAGACTGTTTTAAGCGCTTATTTTCGAAGGCGCGGAGTATCCGTATACTCTCGCGGCCGAGCGCTAATTTAAATATAATTTAAAATACGCATGTTAGACCACGATATTAATTAATAAATTATATGCATGCTGCATGAGGCATGATCGAGATGCATGAATATTTTAACGCTTTCTTGTCCGCGGGTTATTACCGTTCGAATCTCGAACACTGCTCGTTCAAGTAGTTTGTTACAATCCTGGCGTTGTGTGGTCAAGCACCGTCTTGTTGAAAGAACATTTTATTTCTTTCAAATAGTGGCACTTCTTCTAAAAAATCGGGCAGATTTTCTTTCCAAAGTTCCGCGATACCATAGGGTACGCCTATTTAGCAGGCTAGAGTCTCGTTCGTTATCGGAATTAACCAGACAAATCGCTCCACCAACTAAGAACGGCCATGCACCACCACCCACCGAATCAAGAAAGAGCTATCAATCTGTCAATCCTTCCGGTGTCTGGGCCTGGTGAGGTTTCCCGTGTTGAGTCAAATTAAGCCGCAGGCTCCACTCCTGGTGGTGCCCTTCCGTCAATTCCTTTAAGTTTCAGCTTTGCAACCATATTTCCCCCGGAACCCAAAAGCTTTGGTTTCCCGGAAGCTGCCCGCCGAGTCATCGGAGGAACTTCGGCGGATCGCTAGCTGGCATCGTTTATGGTTAGAACTAGGGCGGTATCTGATCGCCTTCGAACCTCTAACTTTCGTTCTTGATTAATGAAAACATTTTTGGCAAATGCTTTCGCTTCTGTCCGTCTTGCGACGATCCAAGAATTTCACCTCTAACGTCGCAATACGAATGCCCCCATCTGTCCCTATTAATCATTACCTCGGGGTTCCGAAAACCAACAAAATAGAACCGAGGTCCTATTCCATTATTCCATGCACGCAGTATTCAGGCGAAGGTAGCCTGCTTTAAGCACTCTAATTTGTTCAAAGTAAACGTACCGGCCCGACTCGACACTCAGTAAAGAGCACCGCGACGGGATATTAGTTGGGCCGCCCCTCGCGAGGCTAAGCCCACCGGTAGGACGTCCCACATCACGCCAGTTAAACACCGCGAGCGGTGAACCGACGGTGTGCGACACAGATTCAACTACGAGCTTTTTAACCGCAACAACTTTAATATACGCTATTGGAGCTGGAATTACCGCGGCTGCTGGCACCAGACTTGCCCTCCAATGGATCCTCGTTAAAGGATTTAAAGTGTACTCATTCCGATTACGGGGCCTCGGATGAGTCCCGTATCGTTATTTTTCGTCACTACCTCCCCGTGCCGGGAGTGGGTAATTTGCGCGCCTGCTGCCTTCCTTGGATGTGGTAGCCGTTTCTCAGGCTCCCTCTCCGGAATCGAACCCTGATTCCCCGTTACCCGTTACAACCATGGTAGGCGCAGAACCTACCATCGACAGTTGATAAGGCAGACATTTGAAAGATGCGTCGCCGGTGCTAGGACCGTGCGATAAGCACAAAGTTATTCAGAGTCACCAAAATAAACGGTGGACGAACGGCGAGCCGCCCGCCACCGATTGGTTTTGATCTAATAAAAGCGTCCCTTCCATCACTGGTCGGGACTCTGTTTTGCATGTATTAGCTCTAGAATTACCACAGTTATCCAAGTAAATGTGGGTACAATCTAATGAACCATAACTGATTTAATGAGCCATTCGCGGTTTCACCTTAATTCGGCATGCACTGAGACATGCATGGCTTAATCTTTGAGACAAGCATATGACTACTGGCAGGATCAACCAGGGAGCTTCGTGTTCGGTTACTCGCAAGGGAGTAACTCGCGAGCGAGCCCGAAGACTCGTCGCTAGCTCTTTTTCGCGCGCGCGCGCGTTCGATGCCGGAACACCGACGCGCGCGCGACATGCTCGTATGTGCCATTTTATTTGCCGCCGGTCTTGCTCAACCGGTCGGCGACACTCTGCTGTGTTTAACGCTATTATGTAAAGCGTACGAGAGAACGACGGAGGCGAGAGTAAACCCCCGACGCCGCCGCCTCTCTTCTTCCTCCTCCTCTCCGTTCAAAAATCCACAAGATCAAAATACTCGTGTTCTTATTCTCCCAAATGTTATGATGCGCGGTCTCGAGAGACCGCGCGATTCACCCTGACGCTAGATCGACGATGGCGATGCTTAGACGTCGAGGACTGTTCTGTCTGGTTCGTACGCGTTTAACCGCACACGACCAGCAATAAGATTTTGCTACGGCGTACAAAGCGAGCGGGAAGAAGCAACTCTTCCCGCAAACTCGTATCCGTGGAGTAGATGCTCGGTAAGCGCGACGATTCCGCTGCTGCGTACGAAACGAGAGGGAACCGCGCGGCCAACACACTAGAGGCGTGCGCGCCACATAAGAGCCATTCGGTCTTGCGACACCGACTCGTGGCAATGCTGTGCTCGTAATAAATAAGTGTGCGTTAATTTTGCGCGCGTTCGGCGACGAACGAGAAGAGCCGCACCGTAATCCCCGGCGAAGAGGAATACGAGACGACGCGAGAGTCGAACGTACGTTCTCGCGAGACACGCAACCTCCAAGCATGAGAAGACTTGGCGGCGGCGCGTTCTGCGACGATCGTATATTATTTTATATATTCGTGGTTTCCAAATCAAACATTTTATATAAATGTTCTCTCCGTGTCAGAGTCGCGACTCGACAAAATCCGTTCTCGATCCGTTTGGGCGATTCTTCGTTTGTCAACGTCGAGAGCGCGACACAATACAATATTAATCTCTCCTACCTCTTATAGTACCCAACCGACCGGCCAAGCGGTCGGCGACGGTACGGAGAGCGGTCGAAACACGCCGGAGTGGCGAGAGACTCGAGAAAGTACGTTTACGACTCGTCCGGACTCGCTCGACTCGTTCGACGCGCCGAGCGCGACGTATCTCTTATAGTACCCAACCGGCTGGCCAGGCGGTCGGCGACGCACGGTCCTACGCACGGCCGTATGCGAGCGCGAGCGTCGAAAGGCGCGTTCAATCGAGACATTGTCGCGGAGAGCGAACAATCGAAAAGTCCTATTGTACGATAAAATATTATCACGATAGCCGTATGGCGAATGTCAAACAACGATAATTAGCATTAATTAAGAAGGAAACAAACGAAATGCCGGGACAATAAGGTATAAGCACCGACGGTACCTCCGGGCCGGGCGGCACCTCCGGGTCGGGCGGCACCTCCGGGCCGGGCGACACCTCCGGGAACTACGGCCGACCGGCGACACCTCCGGGACGGGCGGCACCTCCGGAAGACCGAATGATCTCTCGAAGTCAGACGACCGCCGGCGGTACCTCCGGAACACTTAACGACGATTTACGGCGCCGCAACGAGGAGAGCTACGTAAAAACGTTTCGGACGAAAGTTACTTACTATTCGGCGCTCGCTCGACATGAGGGCGCTGTCCGATTACTAACTCGAAACGTGTCTCAAACCCACGTGTCGGAGACATATATTTCGAATTATTACGGATGATACGCAACACGCAAGCTGCGGTGACCGCGATTACGGTACGGAACACTCGCCCGATGCGAAATCACGCGCGCGGCAACCGAGACGGCACGTTACGGGCGTGATTATACGTGCGGCACCACATAACGGCCGGCGTCAACTTGGGGACGGACGGCACCTCCGGGACGGGCGACACCTCCGGACGACCGAATGATTTTACCAAGTCCGTCGCCCGCCGGCGGTACCTCCGGGGCACTTGACGGCGAGTAGCGCCGCTACGAGGAGATAATACTACGATACGGAAATACGTTTCGGACAAAGGTTTCGTACTTTTCAACGCTCCGCACGACCGCGCAACACGATTATTACGATATCTGCTAATTTCCGGCTACCACTCGTCGGATGCACAATCTTCGAGATTCTACGACCGATACGTGGACGAATGCAGGCAGGATGCCGATAAGCGAAGCCGGAGTGTTTGCACGAATAAACTTTCCGATGCGTCGAATTAATCCAATTTTTCGCTCGTGTTGCGGTTAGCGAAAAGGCGCAAGTTCGCTCGCGGCGCGTTGCTCTCGCCGGCAAGCGAGAAATTTTTCCAGGCCCGATAGCGGCGTGTTGCCTTGGTTAGCGGCGAGACACCTCCAACCGTTGCCCGTTGCCCGCGGCGTGTTTTCCGCGCGGCGTGTTGCTTCCGGCGGGCGCGCGACACCTCCGATCGCGGCGTGTTGCTTTCGTTGGCGAGGCGACACCTCGCGGCGTGTTGCACGCGCCGCGTACCCCAAGTCCGATCGCGGCGTGTTGCTTTCGTTGGCGGCGCGACACCTCCGGCGGCACGCGCCGCCCGCGCCCCAAGTCCGATCGCGGCGTGTTGCTTTTGTTGGCGGGCGACACCTCCGGCCGCACAAGCCGCTTTTTTCAAGTTTGCTCGCGGCGTGTTGCTTTCGCCGGACGAGCGACAAATTCTT